TGTTTTTGTTGTTGCTGTTGTTGTTGTTGCTGCTGCTGTGTCTGTTGCCGTTCTCGTTGTCGTTGTTGCTGTTGCCGCTGCTGCTGCTGCTGCAGCTGTTGTTGTTGTTGTTGTTGCTGTTGCTGTTGCTGTTGCTGTGTTTGTTGCTATTGTTGTTGTTGCTGCTGCTGTTGTTGTTTTGCAGTTGTTGCGGTTGTTTTTGCGGTTGCTTCGTTGTTGCTGCTGTTGTTGTTGTTGCTGTTGTTGTTGCTGTTGTTGTTGCTGTTGCTGTTGCTGTTGCTGTTGTTGGTTGTTGGTGTTGCTGTTGCAGTTGTTGTGATTGTGGTGGTTGTCGTTGTTGTTGTTGTTGTTGTTGTTGTTGTTGTTGTTGTTGTTGTTGTTGTTGTTGTCGTTGTCGTTGTCGTTGTCGTTGTCGTTGTCGTTGTCGGTGTCGTTGTCGTTGTCGTTGTCGTTGTTGTCGTCGTTGTTGTTGTTGTTGTTGTTGTTGTTGTTGTTGTTGTTGTTGTTGTTGTTGTTGTTGTTGTTGTTGTTGTTGTTGTTGTTGTTGTTGTTGTTGTTGTTGTTGTTGTTGTTGTTGTTGTTGTTGTTGTTGTTGTTGTTGTTGTTGTTGTTGTTGTTGTTGTTGTTGTTGTTGTTGTTGTTGTTGTTGTTGTTGTTGTTGTTGTTGTTGTTGTTGTTGTTGTTGTTGTTGTTGTTGTTGTTGTTGTTGCTGTTGCTGTTGCTGTTGCTGTTGCTGTTGCTGTTGCTGTTGCTGTTGTTGTTGTTGTTGCCGTTGTTGTTGTCCTTGTTGTTGTTGTTGTTGTTGTTGCTGTGCTGCTTCTGTTGTTGTTGCTGTGCTGCTTCTGTTGTTGTTGCTGCAGCTGTTGTTGTTGATGGCTTTTGTGCTTCAGGCGTCACAGAAAATCGATACAAGTCTTGGCTCCACAGTTTGCCGTGCGCGCTTCTGTGAACAGCAAGCATTAATGTCCGCAATATTTCATTGGATGTTATACAAGTGATAAACAGCCAACAGGGGATCAGCGTGTAAACGCATCATCTCGCGCATTGGGCCTTCGCATCCCAAAAAGCCAGCCAAGTCGGTCTGATTAAGAATATTATCAGAGGAATCCTTTGGCCTCTTGTCGTTGTTGTTTGTTGGTGTTTGTTGTCGTTTGTTCTTGTTGTTGGTTGTGCTTCTGCTGATGCTGCTGTTGTTGTGGTTGGATGGGTTTTCCATGAAACGCACTTGGTATCGAGCCCTCCCTGTGCATTGTTCCGGTGTTCGGCGAAGTTGGCAATGTTGAGAACAGATTAACCCGGAGGACCGTGCTAATCAGGGTTGGTTCCCCGTTGGGCAAGGAAATGCTTCTCTTTGGGGTTCTGACTAGTAGGGTCCTCCGGATAAATCCGAAGTTAGCATTATGTGAGTTGTAAGTCGCCTGGGCCACGAAGCATAGCGCCGCTTTTGCTGCCAACACTATTCAGGTGTCCCTGAACCCGCAGAGGACACCCTCATTAGATTTGCGTTTTTGTTGGGGGTGGCCCCGTCAAGTTGGCTTACTGTAAAGCCGAACCTGAACAAGGCAAACCGAAACCCTATTTGGGGTTCAAAGAAGGATTTCTTGGCCCTGAAAATGGTGGGTATTTTCGTTGGTTTCTCTTTCAAGTGAAAAGGGCACCCTCCAACACTCCAACAAAACGGAGCCCAAATTCCCATTGCTCACTTCCTGAGTTCATGGACGTTACACTGTGCGGGAAGACCGTGTCATTTTGGTGGTAAATACTTCCAGGATTTGTTTTGGCCCATCCATCGACACTTCCAGGATCAACGAGGGCTTCAAGATTTTGGAGGAGGGCTATGTCGCCCGGAGCTCCGACATCGACATTGCCTACATCTACGGCTACGGGTTCCCCCCCTCCAAGGGTGGGCCAATGTTCTTCGCGGAGACTTGTCCAGGTTTAGTGGCTGGATCTCAAAAACAATTCGGAGGGGGGTCCTTTTGGTTTTCCTTTAAGACCACCCAACAAAGGGGTACGCTGAAAACAAGACGCACCCAAATATCTTACATGTTTTTGCCCGAGCAGGACGATATAGTGTTGAATCCTAGGTTTGGGGCAAAATTAGTTGTTGATGCGCAGTTGTTTTTGAATAGACAGATTATGTATGTACATATATAGTGTTTGGACCTATGTTGACGGTTAACACGTGGTAGTACTGCTGGTGAATGACATTCACTCCAAACCAGTTGATACGTTTGTCCCACAGAGTTTCGTCCATCTCAGATGCAGGTGTTCACCCATCAGTATCTTGCATGTTTGCCCTTGACTATAGGGATAGCAGAGACAAAGGGAATGAGAGAGAAAGAGAACCAAGAAGATTAATCAACAGGATTCTATTTCCCCAGCCAATTAACCTTTCTCTTCTAGATGTCATTTTATTCACACGGTCAGAAGAGAAGAATTCCAATCAAGGACCTTCCTTGCCTCCCTTTCACCTTTGCATCTAGGGTGTGATTAAGACATAAGAAGGGGAGAAGGAAGAAGGAAGAGGAACGGGCATTATCTTATGTGTCCATCATTCGCTCAAATTTAGACCGCTGCTGTTACACCAGGTTTAGTCTTGGTTCCCATACACTAGGCCCCACCAAAACATGGATTTAGTTTCAGTGCTTGTACATACCCCTTGTACATACCCCTTCGACAAATGAACCCAAAAGGCCTGATGCTCATACCCCTCTCCCCAAAAGGGGTATATACCCCTTGTAAGTGGGTTGGAAACCACGGAAGCCAAGACATACTGTGGATGGATGAAATCCTGCACCACCTGATAAACATTGGAATGATGATTTTCCTGGCAATACCAGCCTAGAATGGTTTCCCATGGTTTCAAAGTGGTGCAGGATTTCGTCCATCCACAGTATGTACTTCAACCCGATTCAACACTAGCAAGGAGAACTACACGGGCTTTAAGAAGATCCTCGAGAAGCTGAAGGTCTTCGATGCCCAAGCCAAGGACCTTTCGGACACGAAAAACCCAGGGCGGTTGATAGGTGGATCCCAAGGGGGGATCGAGTACGTCAGGTAAGTGGTTAGTAAGCCTGGTGACAATCCACTGAACGGAGACTTATAACCATTTGTGGGTTACAACCATGATTATTGCCCACTTACTAAGTACCCTGCCCCTTTAAGTAGGGTGTCATCCATCCCAACTGGTGTAGAACTTTGCCCATACACAGCTCTTTGCGGATGGATCGGGAAGGGAGCGGGGAGATATGATGCCTTTGAGTCACATTTTTCACATGGACTGCAGTGCTCTCACCTTTCAATTCTGAGTTGAGTTTAAGTTTGCACCAATTTGGGCAGGAAGGTAAACCAGGCCTCTTAAGTTGCCAGGTTCCTCCCTTGGGCAAGCTGTCGGCTATGGCCCACTTAAAGGGCTGCCCACAGAGAGTCGCTCGTAGTTTGAAGCCAGGGAGCAGAGGCTCTCCTCATAGACTGCTCTAGGGGTTGATTCCCCATTCTTTTGGACTATCGTTCTTTTCAATAACCGGCTATTTCTCCTGAACTTTTGCTGGTTTCCTGAAAAGAAGGATCCCTGGAAAGAATAGGGAAGGTACCCCTAGAGCTGCGTGGATCTCCACTGTTTTTTTTTTTTTTTTTTTTTTTTTTTTCTTTCGGTACGTTGGGCTGACGGAGCCCCGTGTAATGCACAACTGTGCTCAGCATCTGCCCGGCATCTGCTCGGCATCCGTGCGAGCCCGGCGGTAAGCGCCTCACCGAGACCGCACACTATACTCGTGGACACAAACGCCCAGTTCAAAGCCTCAAAGCTCGCAGCTGGTTCTTTTTCTCATTTGTGTCGCTTTCCTTTTCGCTAAGTCTTAATTTAGGGATGATCATCCCAAAGTGCAGCCGCCTTTGTTTCGTTTTCGTTTTATGTTTCGCTAAATCTTTACTTGGGGATAGTCATCCCAAAGTGCCGCCGCCTTGCGCTTCCTCTTTTTCCAGGATCGTTTTATCCATCCCAAAGCGCCGCCGCCTTGCAGTTCTTCCCTTTTTTTTTCCAGGAGAGATACACGAAGAACTCCAAGTATCTGCCGGTGCACTACTTCGAGCCCTCCAAGCTGCTGGAGGCTTGCGCCGCCAAGGAGGGGACCAAGGTCTTCCCCGGGCAGACCTTGATCGATGTGGTGCTCAAGGACCTTCGAGTCATTCCCACGGAGCCACGTGCTCAAAACCCATTCGGGGATTGATCCGGTTCGTAAGGGGCACTCCCAGCCAGAAGCAGCTGCGGGTCTCCGCCTTTGTATTTCCTTTCATGGTTCTGGGTCGACCATGTTAATACCGAGTTTTGATCGTGACTCACGTGGTGAACGAATCCTTCCATTGGCGAAAATGACTAGTTGTGTTTGTTTAGTTTTTTTTTTTTAAAATATGTTCCCTTCGTTTGTTTTAAGGGAATCTATCACTACATGGGATGTGTCCTTAGCTTTAAAGGAAATCTATCACATGGGATTTGTTCTTTGGGCAAACTAGTACATGGAAGTGAACATCTCCCCGGCTTGGGGTGTGCTTGCGGGGCGATTTGGGGTGGACCCTGTACTCCATAAACTGTGAGGTTTCGGGGTGCTTGACTTTTTGTTCCTTTCAAAGGGACCCTTCTGGTGGGTTCCACGGCAACGACGGAGTAGAGTCTGAGTAGAGGTGAGAAGCTTCTCTCGTGAGGACTTCAGAAAGAGCGGCGCCGCCGGCCCTGGCCCCTTCTCCAAGCTCTGAGCGACTCGAAAGCGGTTTCGAGCGCCGGGAGCTGGGAGCGGCTCGCTTGGCTTTTGATGGTAACCCGCGAGAGACGCGTTTTCTCGGTTTTCGCGCGGTTACCTCTCTGGTTGACAGGAACGGCGGCTGTGAAGACAGCCACGCCGACGCTGCCAACTGAGTTTCGTTTCGGCATGTCTAGAATTTCGATTTGGCGAAGACTTGGCGTCTCGATCTCAGCTAATTATCTGCGATCGAGCGAAGGCTGATCCCCATGGGACCAGATCCTGTCATGTTACCTCCTGCCTTGGGTCTGGAAAGGGGACGACTTCGGCTTTTTGTGCGGCAGGTCGGAAGCCCACCGCCAGGCCCCAAGTTAACCTTTCCAATTTGTACAGGCTTTCGTAGCCATTTCAGTCAGAGACATCCAGCTTGCGCCAGGCGGCAAGAAGCCATGCTGCAAGTTCACGGATGATCATGGGCCTCTTCAAAGAAATCTAGAAAATCATTGGAAGGAGTTTCATGGGTGAAGCGGAGCAGTGGGCAGTCTTTGCCATGGATCGCTTTGGACGCCTCTGCTTTGCATTTGTCATTGTTGCAGATTCCAAATGGGTCTGTGCGAAATAGGGGGACCCGAACGTGACAATGTTTTGTTTTGGCTTCTCTTTAAAACTAACCAACAAGAAGTTCCCCAAACACTCACACACACTCACAACACTCACCCAGCTTCCTTAAAAAGTGCAAAATTTAGTGAGGCACCATTCAGTGAGGCATGTGATAGGTTTTAATGATCTCAAATGCTTGCAAGGCGTCCAAGCCCAACAAAAACGTGACATCCAGCTTTTGAGTGTGGTGACAAGTTGCCCTTTCGGCGTTTATCAGCAGGGGCAGCTGCGAACTTATTCCTGGCGATGTACAAACTCTACTTGGCCAGTATGACTTAGTCTAGGTCTCCCAGCTAGGTGCCTTTTCTCACCGTTTTTCTTCACTAAAATAGACAAAAAAGAAAAAGGTTGGTACCCTTATTCTAACCTCTCTGCTGGAGGACCTAGTATTGTTAACTGCTTATCAAGTGGATTTGGTTTCTTAGTATATCTTGCTTTCAGCGTGAAAGTAGCTGGCGAGTTCACATTTTGGCTTCACCTCTTTACCCACCGGGAGTTTGGTGGCATCCACTCTCAACCTGGTGTTCTAGATAGGGTCTTATGCCCCATTTACCAGACCCATGGTGAAGAAGCTTCCAGAGATCTGGTTTCATGTTGCCTGCAAGGCTCGAACGAAACCAAAAAGAACACCCCTCCTTTTGATCATCAATCTGCTTCTTGGATTCGTGGCCCACGCATCTTCTTCCTTTCCGAGCTTCCGAGCTGCGCTGACGCCAGGCGGAGCAGGCCAAGCAGGCCACCGGCCAGGTGGTTGCTGCAACCTTGCGGGGACACCAAGCGGAGCGCGCCAAGCGGTTTCCGTCGGATGAACAAAGTTTTCGGATGCGAGAGTTTTGCTCGTTTTCTCCGTGGGTGGCAAGCCCAGCCATCCGGTTCAACGAAGCTTGTTAGATCTTTTTAGTGTGGTAGTTTCCATTCATTTAAGCCGCTAGATGTTAAACTTTGAGCAGGGGATCTGAGGAGAGCCCAGCCTAGTTGTTGCTGTATGGGATAGTTAAGCATGAAGCATCTGAAGAACTAAAACGCCAGGCCAAGTTATTGGCAAGAGCTTCGCGGTCATACCAACAGTAGATGCCGCAAAACCCTTGATGTGGGCAAGTAGAAGGATGACCAGTGACCGACATAGAGCAATTGTGCAATCAGTTTGCCATCTGCTTTTTGCCGAGCCCGCAAGGGGTGCTACTGTGGATGGACGAAATCCTGCACCACTTTGAAACCATGGGACACCACTGCTTGTTGGTATTTGTGGGGGGAATCATCCTTCCAGGGTTTCTTGGGTGGTGCAGGATTTCTGTCGTTGGGAATCATTTTGCATTTTTGCTTGTTGTGGTTTAGTGGGAAATCCACACTTATATGCTAAAATTTATTTTTGTTGCTCCCCTTCCAACGTCAACCAAGGACAGAGGGGAGCTCTGGTTTTGTCACATGGTCATGATGCTTCTCCTGTCACAAGGGCAATCAAAAGGAACACCGCCAGTTTGGGGCCCAAAAACATGATATACCGACATGCCTCTGCATTGGCTGCTCGTGACATCTCGCTTACAAGCCACATCGAGCATGGAGCCACCTGCGGGATAATCTGTTTGCCACATGAGGTTCGGACAAACTGTCCGCTCTATAGCTCCTTTGAGATGGGGGATTCAACACAGAACAAACAGGGGACTTACTAGTTGGTCCATGCTCTTTAGGGAAATCACGTAACTTTGAACATGGCTTACATGACATTGTCAACCAACGCCGAGCTATTTGCAGCACAAACCGCCAGAACACATTTGTTGATCACTGCTATGTTGCTGGCTATCGTTTGGCGCTCGATTATTTCTCAGTTTATTCTGTGGTTGACATTCATCTGCAAAGAGCTCAGTGTACCCGGTTCTGTTTCTTCCTTTTGTGCCACATGGAACCCGTTTCTCCTATGGCCGCATGACAGCTGGGTCAACACGTGGGACCATCTTACATAACTGCCCTCGGCTAAAGTGATGAACAAAGTAAGGATATTCCCTCCTGTCCACCAACATGGAACCCGACGTTTCGGGAGAGCCACTAAGTTTCCTTCAAAAGGAACCATGGCAGCGTGGACAGGAGGGTAAATCCTCGGTTTGGGGTTGAACGCTGACCAAGCAAGTTCGATCTGACCACTGAGTGGCACCCGTCGAGGCCAACGGAAGAGGAGATGGCAGCAGAGGACCACGAGGTAAAGGCGCGATCCCATCGGCCGTAAGTGTCCCATTTTGTCGCCACGTGTGGTTCGTTTGGTGACGTGGCTGTAGTGGGTCGCAAAAGTTCTTGGAAGAACTAGCGGTTGTTCGCTTGTTCGCTCGAAAGGGAAACCAAAAGGATGTTGGTCCTTGTTTCTTGACTGCTATTGGGTTGGATCTTTAGACTTTTATTTTTTGGGAAATAAAGGTGTTGTCCACTAAACCCCCAAAAAGTTAAACTTTTTGCAGGGGGGTCAACAGCAACCAAGGTTTAAACCAGGGATTTAACCACTTCGTAACCACCAAAGCGGGCTCCAAAGCACCAAGTGGGAAGCTGATTAAGGGATTGGAGCCAGGCTGCATTGGGCTTTTGCCCGGAGCTTTCGGGGAACAGGCACCGGAAGAATCCTTCCGGTCAATCAATTCCACGGCTTTGTTTGCCCTATTTGGTGGTCCACGATAGTATCGTGCTGCTCACAACACGAGAGAGGCATCTTACAGTCGAGACATTGCTAAACATACACTTCAGGTTCGACTGCAATTTGAGTTTCGCGTAAGACTAGAGATTCACAAAAGGGCAACTCAACATTTAGCCTCCGTGTTCCCCGGCTTGTGCAAGTGACAATTTCAGCCATTGAGTTTGAATCATGTTTAGAATCCTCTGAACCACGGCGACTATGAATTTGGAGGGCACTTGGAATATCAGCATGGAACCCCAAATCAGTTGATCACGCACCCTCTTGCTTCCATTTGCTCAAGAATATGTCTTTTATTTTCCCTTGTTGGAAATAAAATGAATTTATCACTACCAGACATATATATATATATATATGTTTTAAACAAATAATAGCGTCTTAACCAAATTGAACGCTTGGTGGTTTGGAGCTGGCGAACCATTTCAACGGCGAGTGGCCGTTTCATTCTGCGAGATTCCAGGCGGAGCACCTCCGCAAGGCAAAGGAGGCGGCTGAGGACCCATGCGTAGCCAGAAATCGAGCGGGCGGGGTGACAATAATGGAGGACCAAGTATGCGTCCATTTGCTTTTTTTACCGATAATAACAACAATAATAATAAAGCCTTGTTGGTTTTAAAGGAAACATGTCACTGTTGGACGTGTTTTCTCCGATGAAGCAAATGGAAGCATGATGCCCCGGATGAATTCGAAGTTAACATCAGCCGAGCTTCTCAATCTGTAAATGTGTTTTTTGTGGTTTAGATTAGAGCTTGTTGCGCTAAAGTGGGTTTCTCTTGGCGTTCATAAGAAAATACTTAGCTCTGGGCAACGTGTAACGAGCTAATCAATGAGAAGGTAAGACGAGCGGAAGCCCATCTTTATTGCAAGGTACTTGCAGATGCCTTCTTATTGTAATATATCTATAATAGGTAATATGATACAATACAAATTACGGAGCAGGATTAGGGATCCCCCGATTTTGACAACCCAGACAGCCAGCTGACTTCAGACGGGATGAGCCAATGGATGGCGTTGTTGCAGCTCCACGCTCCATGTGTACACAACTTTATGTTCCCGTGAACCTTGAGAGGCTTGATGCGCGGAATATTGAATTTGACACATTCACTTTCCCAACTCAACACTTGGTCTTGCACTCCACAGCCAGAAAGTTCCTTCAATTGTACATTGCTCGGTGCCCCCAAAAACAAACAACGCCATGCTTTGAAAGTCCCCTTCTTCTTACGTGACAATTGGGCGAGATGGGATGGCAAAGATAGGATGTTTGTCTTTCTGTCTTTGTGCTCCGTCTCTTCCATCAGGATTCAATTTGTGGACTACAAGGAAAAAACACAGATCTCCTTGTTCACAGAGCGACTCATCAGGGCTTACGTTAAAAATGAAACGGATTAACTCGTGATACAACATGAAAGGGACAACAATAAATCGTTGAAGATACTACATAATTGACTTCTGCATCATCCATGCAACGATACTAGACAACAGTAAAGGTAAAGGAAATGCTGAAGACAAATAGCTGTTTACATGGAAGAAACAGAGAAGTCACAGAGAGATTAAAGCCGGTTCCCCTTCGTTTCCATGGACAAGCTTGTCTTTTAGTGTTCTCTCCTAGAATTCAGTTTGATTTCGTCTCTTGTCCATGACTCCTAGTGGAGGATTTTGTTGGATGTAGAATGTAGCGATTG